AAATTTAATCCATGCTCCGGCCGTACTGGCTAGGAAAATTTAGCCATCCTAATGTCGGGCAGGTGGTACCGCATCGATATTGGTGAATTTGAAAATTTCCAAAATCTAAAGAATTTTCATTCATTTTAAGGAAAAATTCACTACCATTTGAAAAATTAATCTTCTTAACTTAAGAAATAACATTTTTAGGTATTTCTAACAAGGTAAATGTATTCCTAAAACCCCTTTTTTTTGTTTGTTTAGGGTTGTACATAGCCCATTAAATCTGAGAAGTATTTCAAGATTGAAATGATTAACCATTATATAATGAAGAGAATATAAATTATGATAACCTATAGAATTGATTGACATTACTTTTTATAATAAAAATAATCTTATTACAACAATTAATTGAAAATGAAATATTAAAATTTAAAGATTCTATCATTTATGTGAAATGGTGTAAGAATAGACAATTACAAGATGATCATTTAAATTATTTACCTAAAAGGATATTTATTCTGTTTGCTTTTACTTTAAAGCCAACTGTCTAAGTTTATCATAATTTTTTCTTGTTCCTTCAGATTCTTGATTTTCACAGATCAGATAGAAGTATAGTAATAGCATTATCCAAAAGAAACGATTAAATTTATTCAAAGATTCTTTTAAAAAATGTATGATAATTTTCAATTCCTCCTTTCAAAATAAAGGTTTCTGAAGCTTCCAAAATTAAATTTTGACATATTCCAAGTATTGTTTGATCAATCTCACTAAAGAATACAATTAATAAATACGTTAAAGTGGCAATTTAAACCAAGAAAGAAGGTCTTTGTAACAATTATCTTGAGGTAGAATCTCTTGGGTTGTCTCAACATCTCATCAACGGATAGAGTCATCTCCACTACCAGATTCTAATGTAGTACTATCGTGAGATTACCTGTATTTTATTTTTTATAGATAATTATTTATACCTTAAGACAGCAATTTTTCAAAGAGTTTTGGAACTAGATTGCTAAAGTATATCTAACAAATTGTTATGCATAAACAATAATAAAGGTTTTTGTCTCATAAGTTTGATATCTACTATTGATTTGAGAAAGAGATCATTAAATATTTTAACGTTGACCCTCTAATTATTTCAAAATGTTATTGTAGATAATTAATTAATTTCATATTAAATTAAAAGGGGTAAATTTTGAGTAATCTTAGGATTTTACCCTCATCATAATAAGATTTGTTCCTCAATTAAATAATTCTATTTTTTATTTTTTAAAAATG